TCGACTACTGAAACCCTGTCGAACTCCCTGGGCATCACTGATACTATGTTGACTAGAATATCCAACGTATCATCAGAATCTTCATCAAAGTTATCGGTCATTTCATTGTTGACCGACTTTATCTGTTCTTTCATCCGTGTTGGAAACAACTTTCTTCCTGCAGGTATCTTCCCAAGAGCTTCCGTTCGACCTTCCTGCTTTGTAGGATTATTGGTGCTGGACTGTGGTTGGTCTTTGTGTGTACCTTCTCTATGTGCCTTCCTTCTTCTCTGCTCACGTCTCCATTAGGATCGAGACATGGGATTTTTCCCTTTGTAATTTTCTGATATATGAGCAGCCTTCGAAGACTGAAATTCTTTTCGATAGCTTAACGAGGATCCCCTTTGTACTTCGAAATTCTTCCATCTTTTCTGTCCTTGCTGCTTGTTTTCATTAGGCTTCGTCTACTTTCCATCAGTGGCCTCAGCGTTGGGTTTGAAGCTAGTGGACTTGTTCATCGGAGGCCTTATGCGAGGGTTAGATCTCTGCTGGAGGCCTCTTCGAGGATCGAATCTTGGCCTTTCATTTTCTTGCTTCAACCTTCGTGTCCCCTCCAATTTTTGTGCAGCCTTTTTGTCGAATATGGCGCTGCATCGGAGACAGAGCATTACACTAGAACCCTTTTGCTGGCAGCGGTGAAGGAAAGAAACAATGGATTCCTCTTGTTTTGGGTAGGCTTCCCTTGTGTGTGTTTCCTGGTAGTTTGACTCACTATCCGCTACCTCCTCATGCTGAGTGATTTGAACCATGTTAATCTCAATTTCTTTGGCCAAGTTAAGCTTTTTCAAACTTAACTCCACGCCTTTGGTAGCTTCATCGATCTTAACGAAGTCATCAGCTGTTTCCTTGGTCACTATCTCTCAACCCAGATTGTTTATGTTGCTTGGGCCTTTGGTTTCACCCCTCTGGTCACAACTATCAACTTCCATTTCGACACAGTTCTCCTGTCTGAAATTGATGGTAACCTTCGCCATCACCGCTTCGTCTATGGGATTGCCAGCATCCTCTGTTACTTCGATTAAGAAGTCGTAACCGCTGACAACTTCGATCATATTAGCCTCGACTGGCTCCGTGTAGTTTGCGTCTGCCGTCTGTAGAGGATATGAGTCGACCCTCATTTGGCCACCAGCTTTCTCCCCGAACTTTAGACGTCCCTCTTGGATCGCATTCTGAATGAGGTCCCTGAAAAGAAAACATTGAGATGTTTTATGACCCAAGAAATTATGATATTTACAAAACCCTCTTTTCTTCCTTTGCTCTATGGATGGCATTTTGGCGCCAGGAGGCACTATCATTTGTCCATCCTTAACTAACAAATCGAAGATTTCATCACATTTTATGATGTCAAAGGTATATGTTTTCTTTGGGAACCTATCGTTCTTTTCAGATTCGACATAACTCTTCCCTTGTGGAGGAGCTAATACTTTGCATAAGTAAGGTGGCCCTTGCTTGAGTTCAGCAAGATTCACTTCGCCATCGTCGAAACTCATGGACTCGTCACCCAGACCTTCGACGTTATCATTGAATTCGACAAAAGCTATCTTTTTATTTTTATTGAATTTAGCCTTTTCGTCTTTGAGTCTTTCGAGTTGCCGAACCCGATCGGCTAATTGGGCCATGTCCCTTAGGTACTGGGTGTCCAATTTTTTCCTAATAGAGTAGTCGAGACCGCCAACGGCCATTTCGACCAACTCATGTTCAGGGACCTGCGTGAAGCATCTGGCCTTAAGAAAGCGGAACCTATTAAGGTACTCCTCTATTGGTTCAGAGAATTTATGCTTCACGCTAGCTAGCTCCTTCAAACTAATTTTAGTCTGACCCATATAGAACTGTTCATGAAACAAACGCTCTAACTGGGTCCAGTTACATATCGTGTTAGGGGGAATCATCGTGAACCAGGTGAAGGCGTTCTTAGTAAGAGAACTTGGAAAGTATTTTATCCTAAGGCTTTCGTCATTCGCTATCTCTCCAGCCTCAATTAAGTAACGAGCCACATGTTCGACGGTGGATTTCGTCGTATCTCCTGAGAACTTAGTGAACTTAGGTACATTCGTCCTAGGAGGTAACTCTGCCTGAAGGATATAGTCTACTATAGGTGAAGTGTAATTTGGCCTAGTAAAACCGGTGTTTAACCCATTTCTGGCCATAATTCTCTCGACCATGGCCGCTAGATTATTGTCTACGGCTATGTTGTTTCGACGAACATGCTGGACTACATTGTCTGCGTCTTGGTTTCGATTCACAACCACCACCCCTGGATTTCTTTCTCCCAAGCCACGGGGTTGGTTCTGCAACGACTCTTCCCTAAGCTCTTCGACTACCGGAGGGACTACCCTTCCTTGGTTTCCTACGTCGACTTCTATCACATTCACCAGGTTATCTCGCGGGGTGTTCGCTATTGCGGCTTGATTTCTGGCTAAGGGAGGCACCCCCATGAATTCAGCCAATCTTGTTAATTGTACCGCCAATTGTTGGTTAGTCTGGATTGTATTTTTGATTAATGGCTGAAATATTTCACCTATGGTTTGTGACAAAGTCTGAACCATCTGTAGGTTACTTTCATCCATCTGCTGTCTCAAACACGCAACTGATGTGTTGGTCAAATTGAGGCCTTGTGTCAAATACCCTAAACTCTGGGGGTTTCGACTCATGTTCACACCTGACCCCGACCCTTGCAGTGGCGAAGCCATCGCCTGATCTGAAAATATAGGGGGTGCACTTTGGAGCCCTTGCATCATAGCTGTGGGCATCCCATATGAAGGGTTTCTAGGTGACTGTGAAAAGCCAGGAGGCACAAACTGCCTGGACGTCGAACTCCCTCCTAACACAATCTGAGGATTCGACGTCTGGTGACCAATGTATTCCAACACTGGTTGAGTATAAGGCCTTATCACTGTGGATCCCACTCCAAGCGCTGAAGGCGTCGGCACTGGCCTCACAAGAAGCACCGTTTGTTCTCCGGTTGACGGTATCGGAGGGGGAACTCCCTCGTCTCGTATTCCTTCGATGGAACCGTCTCCTCGTTGGTTGGAGTTATCTGGTTGGTTTGTATCCGTAGCCATGTTCTTACTGCTTCGTCTTGATCGCGTCTCTTCATTTACAGCGGTAATTTTATCACTTCTCAGTAACATAAAAGTGTACCCTCTTACGAAAAAAAAGGACTAGTAAGACTGCAAAATCTTTTATAAGTTTAGTTTTATAAAATAGATTTCCTAGCACTGTCCCACTGGGCGTGCCATTTTGTTTCCCTTGAAAATCGGAAAACAACCGCTGATCTTCCAAATCTAACTTTGGTGACTCACAGGATCGATCAGATTGATCCTAGAACATGTGCTAAAAGATTTATTTTTTGGTTTTAAGACTTTATCCAAGTTCCACACTCGAATAAGGTTGGGATACACAGAATCCTAAAAGAACATCTATTCGACTACGGGTTGATTTGTAGGTAAAATAAGGCTTCTAATAAAAAAGAAGAAAGTTTGTTGGTAAAGGTGAATTTAGTTTGAGGGCGAAGAGAAAAGAATTGCGTAAGGGGAAAAGAAGTAAGGTAAAGAGTAAAAAAGGGTAAGGACAATAAAGGCAGTAAAAGACTTTGTAAAACTTAAAGTAAAAACAAATAAATTGCATTAAGTTTAAAAGATGGTGTGTTTACATCACATACATTCTCCTTGATACTCTTTTCTCTACACTCGGATACTTTGAGTAAATTTAGGAGTGACTTGCACAAATAGTAAATTACAACACCCTTTGGATGTGTCTAAGACACTCTATTTATAGTGACAAAAAATAACCTTTAATAACTTCCAACATAATTTCCTTCCGTCACTTGTCTTAAATGCATGGATCCATCATTCATAAGGTGACACGTGTCTCCCTCCATTTTTCACAAGCAAAACCGTTCCCTCCAACATTCAAATTTCAAATACTTCGACGCACCATTCGTTATTGGCAGGCGGTCGAACCCTTGGCCTCGGAGTGGGTCTTTCGACTTAGCTTCTTCCTCCTTTCGACCATTTTCCTGTATTCAAGACCCTTTTCTTTGGAAACTTTCTTTCTAGCTAAGGCGTCGAATTTAGGAGCTAACACACCTTCGACGACATAGCCTTGAGTCAACTCTCAATACATCTTCTGCTGGCGTCGACTTGTGTCGTTTCCTTCACCATCTTCCTAACCTGTCGACCCACACGTCAGCCTTGTCGTCAACTCTTTTTCAGTCGAAATCTTCCAGCCAACACCCACCTTAAAATACGAGTAAAGACAAAGCTCCACAATCTTAAAAACTAATCCACTAAGTTATTGAAATACAAAAAAAAAGTGTTAGAAATCCCTTATTTTAAACTCTTTTAGATACTAATCTCTTAATTTTGACATTCATTAACTAGCACAGTAAATTTTTCATCAAACACGCAAGCCTTTTGTTCTCGTTAAACCCAAATATATATCAATCTATCCCATCTTTTAAAAAGTTCTTCCAAACTCTTTTTAAACTAATGTCTTCTAATTGTTTATGTATCATGTAGTAGTGTTATTAATATTTCTTGAAATAATGAGACAAAATTGGTGGTTTAAGTTTAATGGCTAGTAGCACAACTTGTTGAGTTCTCGATTGAGAGCGATCCATTTATCTCCAGCTTTTTATTTATTTATTTTTTAAATGAGCATACATATAAAATGAGACAAAATTGGTGGTTATAGTTTAATGGATAATAGCACAAAATAATGAGACAAAATAATGAGTTTCCGATTGAGAGCGCGGCAGTACATTCCCGACAATTTCAGTCTACCGCAAAACAAGAGCTAAGTCTAACCTTTAACTTTGGGATTGTAGTGAGAAGCAGAAGAAAGAAGTTGAAAATTTAACAAACACCATTCATTGACCCCTTCTCTTCAATTTTATAGTTCCCACCTAACTTTTCCTTTTCTATCTTCTTCGACCCTTTCCTCTTCTTCCCACTCCAAAAATGGACAATTCCACTCAAGAATCCCATCTCCGATCCGATAACAACTCCGTCACCTACGATTCTCCTCATCCTCTTTACGCCATGGCTTTCTCTTCAAACCCCAATCCCCAACAACACCAACGAATCGCCGTCGGAAGTTTCATCGAAGAATACACTAACCGCATCGATATCCTCTCTTTCAACCCCGATACTCTCTCCATTAAACCTCAACCTTCACTTTCATTCGATCACCCTTATCCACCTACCAAACTCATGTTCCACCCCGCAACCCATTCACCCCTTCAGAAAACATCCTCCGACCTCCTCGCTACCTCCGGCGACTATCTCCGTCTCTGGGAAGTTCGTGAGAATTCCGTCGAGGCTCTTTCACTTTTCAACAACAGCAAAACCAGCGAGTTTTGTGCTCCGTTAACCTCCTTCGACTGGAACGAAATTGAGCCGAAACGCATCGGAACTTCGAGTATCGACACGACTTGTACTATCTGGGACATTGAAAGAGGGGTTGTAGAAACTCAGCTTATTGCACATGATAAAGAGGTTTACGATATCGCTTGGGGGGAATCGAGAGTTTTTGCTTCTGTTTCTGCTGATGGGTCTGTTAGGATCTTTGATCTAAGAGACAAAGAGCATTCTACTATTATCTATGAGAGTCCTCAACCAGACACTCCTTTGCTTCGTTTGGCTTGGAACAAGAAGGATTTGAGATACATGGCAACTATTTTGATGGATAGTAATAAAGTTGTGATTTTGGATATTCGATCACCAACCATGCCTGTGGCGGAATTGGAGAGGCATCGTGCTGGTGTTAATGCGATTGCTTGGGCTCCAAGAAGCTCTAAGCATATTTGTTCCGCCGGAGATGATACCCAGGCTCTTATGTGGGAGTTGCCTGCTGTGGCTGGTCCAAATGGGATTGATCCAATGTCTATGTATTCTTCTGGCTATGAAATTAATCAGCTTCAGTGGTCTGCTGCTCAGCCTGATTGGATTGCAATTGCTTTTGCAAACAAGATGCAGCTTTTGAGGGTATGAATTTCAGGTCAGGGAATAGCTTGCTTGTAGTTTTGGAAAACCAAATTACTCATTGCAGTGTTGTGAGTTGTGACTCATATGTATTGAGTAGTCTAGTTTAACTTGGTCATGCATTAATTAGAGACGAGTGGATGACTCAAATGCTTATGCCTTATACTTTAGTACTGTCTAATGTATGCAATGGCTTCTTTTGGTGGCCTTAAACTACCACTGTCTATCATATGTAAGAGTGTTTTACTTATAGCTGAAATTGATGTTGCATTTGCTTGTTGAATGGAAGGTGGAATTTACCAGGTTAATATTGTAATTGCTGCTCTTCTAGATGATCCGTGTTAAATTTTAAAGTTGATTCTTTTTTGTATTGTTATGGAGCACCTTTGTATGTATGTCTCTGTAGTAATTTTAATCACTGTTTGACACTTCATTAGTTTTTGAGAAAGATGGTTTATATGTCGGAGTGGTTACAATGTAATAAATGTTTGTTTATTAAACTTTGCTAAAGCCTTCATTCATGCCATTTATGTAGATATTTAGTCCATGAAGTATACTTGTATTCCTCGGTTATAAGAGCTGCAGTGTCGCACTCGATTGGATTGATTATTTTTTTGTAATAAATAAAAAGTATACTTGGTACTGCGGAAATGAGAATATTACACTGCATAAGTGGTTATAGATGATTATGTAAGATTTTTAAAAAAGGGAAAATTGTGTAGCCCTCAGTAAAGAAAACACAGTGTAGTATTGTTTTTGGTGATTTGAGTATGTGTGGAGAAGTTTTGTAGAGCTAAGGAATGTTGACTGGATGGAGGATAGTTCAGTAGTTAGAGTTGAAAGATGACTGAGGAAAATTATATGCCAATAAAAGAGATTTATGACAGGATTTTTTTAGCATTGATGGTACGATCCTACGTGCCACAGCTTCCAGAACATACTACGATCAGAGCAAGATCTTTTCTCTAGTGCTGTCGTGGTCAAGATCAAGATCTTCAGAGGGATAGTAAGGGAAAGTTGTGCTGGCTTCTGATTTATGTTGGGCCTTTCTTAACCGGGTCAGTTTTTGACAAAAAAATCCTGTCGGGTCTTTCTTAACTGGGTCAGTTATTGATCAAAAACTGACCCGGTTAAGAAATACCCAACGCAAATCAAAAGCCCAGTTTACTTGCAATAACAAGCAGAGTTCACTCCCCTTTCTAAACCCCAAAACACAACAGCTTCCCATCCCTCTCTGTTCTCTGCAACTGCAACACCTTCCCCTTACCCTTTGTTCTCTGCAGTCCTCCTCTCATTACTACGACCACGACAGCTTCCTCTGCGATACCGTCCTTTATCTCCCCTGTTTTTGGTCTGTTGCGCATCTTCTTGCAACTCTGTTTCCTCTTTTATTTCTTTCAAAACTCTGTAATCTCTTGTTTTGTAATTAGTCTTTTGAGGTTAAGGATTAAGTCTTGTGAGTGCTTATGAACTTAGTTTTTTGTGTAACTTATGAACTTAGTACTTGGTTGTTATTAACTTCTTACATAAAAATGGTTATGAATTATTAAATAAATTGGCTGAATGTTGTGATTTAATGGTTATTTTGTCCATGAATTATAATTTTTATGCTTTATATGTGTTTGGTATGTCGGGTTACAATCTTTCACTGCTATACCAATCCTACTTAAGATCTCATGTTTGACTACATTGGTATTTCCTCAAATAACATGGTCTGGTATCCTTAGTATTACTATTAATCTTAGCTCTTAAGTATCCTATACTATTGCAATTTTTTACGAACTTGTGTAAATTGAAGACTTGCTACAACAATTGCATATTAACTTTGAAGTTCTGCCTAAAATCTGCACTCTATTCTGCATTTCAAATGAAAAATAATGTTTGTTGGTTTTGGTATTTTATTTTATTTTTAAGAAATTACCTCATGCTTTTGTCTGGAGCAATTTTACTGACAAGCTCCAGAATATTCTAATTTGTTACCCTCCTGAATTATTGCTTCTTTAGGCATCACTTATTATTTGTAACAATATTTATTTTCCATCTCACTACCGACCTTGTACTTTCTCCGTTGTCTTCAGCATTAATTTGCGTGTTTGATGTTTCTATCTACTCGCTATGGTTTTCAACATTTACTTGGGTTGTGATATTGCCGTGATGTGATCATTTTCCTCGTGATGCTAAGCATTATCCTACTGATAAAACTATGAATATGAATTGTCGTTGTGTTAGACCTTTTATTAATAATTAGTATAAGAGGAGAGGCTGTAACTGTCCATGACAGTCTATGTTATTTGAAAGCAGTTATTTGTGGCAATTATAGGTTTGTTTGTGTAATTCAGTTTCTACCAGGAAGAATCATAATTAAGGAAAGACCAGAATTAGGTAGGGGAGGTTGAGGGGGGACAGTAGTGATGGAGTTTTCAGTGGAGGAAACATTCCTTTACTAGGGAGTTAGATATTGTGGACCGGTATTTCCAGAGTCTGTTGATTGTTGGTGGTGTTAAGTTGGGAATTATGGGGTATATACGGTTGTGTCAGCCTATAACATCCTCCTTGAGGCTAAGTTGCGCTTGTGTTTTCCTCTTATTCGAAGGCATTAGGCCTTGTCTTCTATTTGGGCCAGTTGGGTCCTTCCAAGTTGGTTTATCTTCTCCTGGCAACTACTTTTGGATAAGTTCCCTTTAAAAGGTTAATCTTGCTAAACGGGTGACTTGTAGTTTTTTGTGGGGAGCCACTGAGACAGACTCCCATTTATTTGTCACTTGCGATTTTACTTTGACTTTGTGGTAGAGGATTTTTAGGTGGTATAAGAGGGATTTTGATGGTCTGGCATGTTGTGATCTGATTTATCTGGACATCTCAGAATGTTTTGGTTTTCTCGGGTAAGATGGTCAACGTGGAGGACATGGAGGACTTGAGTATTGCTTTGGCTTTGAAATGGGTATTTGGGGAAGTCTTTGAAATACTCAAGCCCTTTCTGCATGATTAAAGAACCCTAACTTCATAATGAAGCAGTAGTGGCTGGAGAGGCTACATACTCTTTTGAGGAGGAGTTTCTCTTCCATTCTTTAGGAGTTTTCTGCTCCTAGCTGGTATCTGCTGCTGGATACTAGCCGTTTTGACTTGGAGTTTATTCTTTGGAGTTGTGTTTTGTTTGTGACGTTGTTGACTCCTTAGGCATGCTGTTTTCTTTTTGCTGCCTTTTTGGATTCTTAGCTGGGCTATGTTGGGCCGGATTTAGGTGTTTGTTTGGTTTAAACAGTGGTGGTTGTAATTCTCTCCATTGTTTTTTCTTTCTATATATATATATATATAGTTTTTTTTTGTTGCTTTTTTTGCCGGTTAAAAAAATGTAGTTAACGAAAAATTAGTAGTGGTTAATTGGGTGGGAGAGAATCAAGTTCTGGAAACTTGGTAGGAACAGTATAACATGTATTCTTTTTTGATTCCCACCTATCTCTGGAGGTTGTTTAATAATAGTCATTATTCTGTAGATATATCAATTAGCACCCGTTTCTATCACATTATTAATTTTCCAATGTGTAAAAATACTTGCTACTTGTGTTTTCTGAATATAGCTGTCATATTTTGGATAAGAGAGTGTAAGACTAGATCGTGAACAAACTGTGCACTGATGAATATCAAATATTCTTTTCAACATCATCGCCTGTCTGTAAGTGACAGGATCAATTAGATTTAATTGTGAAGCTCGTGGCTCTAATTCATTTGAAGTTTTCTGTAATCAATTTTAGGATTGGATGAGTGGTTTATACTCATAGAAGTTGGCTTGCTTAATGCATTTACCAATTACTGATAGGTAATGTTCTGGAATATTTAACTGTTCTTGCCGAGGTTCTGGTTGAGGACAGATAAACCAAATTATTGCCTCCCTAATTCTCATGTTGAAATTGAAATATACACAGTTGTTTATATTTTTTTATTCAAGTAGAGACAAACAAAGTGTAACTTAGTCGGTAGTATAGCGTGCTTGAGGTTATATATAAATACGATCCAAGAAGAATTAGTGGAAGGATTAGTGTGCAGTGACTAATTGAGATTTTATTTTATTTTGTTTTGCTGGTAGTTAGTTAGAAATGTTGTACATTGGCAAGTTTCTCAAAGTTAAAGCCGTAACTCTCTTTAGCGCAATCCAAAAGAACTGTTAAAAGTTTTTGAAGATTCCTTGGTTGTTGACTTGTTGTAAAGAAAGTAGCTCGTTGCTTGTATGTTTTGAAAGGGAGCTTTTGCCTTTGGAAAGAATTCTATGCGGATAGTCATGGCTAATATTCAACATTCTATCATGGTATCGGTTGAGCTTACCAACGATCCAATCATATTGCCCAACAACTCTGATCCGATGTGCACAACCTCGCCCATTGCATGTCAGCCACAAACTCTCTTCTTTGCCTTTGAGTTCTTCAGTTTGCAATTTCAAAGAAACTTGATACAAAAATTATTTTCTCTTGATTCAACAATTTGAACGTCCACAATCTCTGGCTCGAACTTTCTCAGGGAGAGACTTCTCTCAACGATTCCAATCCCCCGGTTCAAACTGTTCAGGTTGTTATGGTTCGGATTACCAGTGAAGACGGGAAGTTCCTGATGGAGTCGCACCATGAATTGTCCGACGGCAAAGTGAGCGAGCGGAATAGACCTTTAACAGAAAAGATGAAGCCCAACGAGGTTCCAGAATCTACCGCCCTTAGAGGGATTAAGGAAGAGCTTGGCTCCGTGCTCGGTGTTGGGTCAAACACAGTGACAATTGATCAGAATTCGTAGCAGATGAGGGTGGAAAAGCGTGATTCAGAGACTTATCCTGGTTTGCTTGGTTGCTACGTTTTCCACACTTGTTATGCTACAGTTGAGGGTTTGCCGGAGGGTGATTTTTGCTCTCATGAGGTGGACGAGTATGCTGATTCTGACGACAAGAAAGCTGCTCACAAAGCTGTTTCTGTTAAGAAACATTATTGGAAATGGGTTACTGTTGATTCTGTTCAACCTTGATCTTG